TATTAAATTTATTATATTTTAAAATTAAAAAAAAAATTAGCTGTGTAAGAGACAAAATTTTAAAGAAGTTACATATTATTCTAAATGAATTACCCTATCAATCGAAGCACCTAACGGTGTCCGAGTTTTAATTAGATTAAGCCACCTAAGTAATATATAATGTAATAAATTTATAATTTTTTAAAGTAAGACCCACTGACATATATATTTTGCTTGGGGGCTTATTCTGATTGGAGCCCGTGCGTACGGGCTTCATAAGGAAAATTTTTTTCACTTAGGGGAGTTAAAAAGTTTAGTTTGGTTTGATCCCACTAATTTTTTGATCGGGTCTATGTATGATATCTTGGCATTCTTAATTTAATTGAAACCTAGCATGGCCGCACTGTACTGCTGTCGCAAACACACCTTAAGTTATTATTAAGTATTTAAGTTTAAGAAAGGGAAATATTTAATGTATTGAATGATATTAGAGTATTTAAAATGTTAAGAAGATGCGTGGCCCCGACATCACACCATTTGTTCCATCATTGATTAATATAGTTAGTAGAGTCTTATTTGGGCTCATGGTTAAAGTTGGATTGCATTCGGGCCAGATCTTTTAGGCTTCGTTTAAGAAGATGGTGAAGCAATGTCCCGTTGCAGCGAATGCCGATGCATTGTTCTATGGAGCAACATCGTGCAAGCGTAGTCTTTATTTCTAATGAATTGTAGAAGTTTGGTCATTTTAGATTTAGTTTTTTTTTTTTTTTACAAAGATGTTCTTGAAAGAAAAAAATATTATGTCCGCACGTTCGGACGGCCAATCATCTGAGGCCACGTCGCCTGCTGTAGCCCGACGATGATGTGCAGTATTCGAACGAAATATTTTCTCAGAGCAACACAGAATAGCGAAAAAGAAAGCACTTCAAGTTGGGAGTCGGGTTTTATTCGGGCCTGCGGCCACATCGCCTGCTGTAGCCCGACAATGATGTGCAGTATTCAAACAAAATATTTTCTCAGAGCATCACAGAATAGCGAAAAACAAAGCACTTCAAGTTGGGAGTCGGGTTTTATTCGGGACAAATGAGAACCCGACCCGAATTGACACGATAGGGCCAACATGAGTCGCCGCGTCATCAGCACGCGGGAGCGTTACCGCCTCGGTGTTTCACCTTCCCGCTACCACAAACGCGAGAAACGGTGCTAGACCTAGATCTCGATCTGCTCCAGAAAAGCGTTTCTGCTCTCCGAAATCTCTTCAGGTCTCCTTTTCTTCTCTCGACGTGAAATCTCTTCAGGTCTATCACATCTCTCCTGCAAGAATCCTTATTATATTTTTGCTCAATCCGTTTGATTTTAGCTATTCGACCTTTTTATCTGTTTTTCTTTCAATTTCTGGTGCCGGGATGAAATCTTTCTCTTCGAAGAATTTTACTTGTCATAATTTGATACTTATGTGCGTTAGTTGTTCATAGATGATGTGATTTTGGGGGCATTTACATATATTTCACATTTTATGACAGACCAAATTCTTTAGAGCTGGAAGAATTTCACACGAAGAGGAAAAGTATCTGCAATATTGCAATTCTATTGCCTCATGAATTCACGAAGGTTTATTTTAAATTCTTGCTCTGCTTCTCTTTTCCTATCCACAGCTTTAGAATTGATTGCATTATGAGATTGACATGCTTAAGATTGGATTATGTTCCATTTTTGTTTTTTTTTTCTTTGATCTTTAGTTTTTAAATTAAATAACTTATTTCAAATTGAAATTGATGTCTCTTGTATTATATATACATAGGAAAATTTACATCCATACAACTCAATTCCTATGTATTTACATATCTTACATCTATACTTTCAATTATTACAAACATACCATCTTACCTATGCATGAAAAAAGTATTGCACTTTTTAAAAGTTAAATGGTGTCTTTTTAATGCAATATGAAAGAAACCTTAAAAATTAAAAATTAAATTTAAAATTTGGGACATAGGATCCCGCATAGTCCATTTGGGACGCCCGTATAAATGTTTTTAAATGTAAAAATTAAAATTTAGTTGTTAGTTATATAAACACATAAATGTTGAATCCATTTGAGACGTAGGATCCCGCGTAGTCCATGAACAAATACAATCTAGTGGAAGATCCCATATGACTATGAAATTGATAGAGAACTAGAAATAAGATGGAGAGAGACAAATGAAAAAGCCTTGGTGGAGACATTGGAAAAGTCTATTTTAGGTATGACTCATATACCAGGTAAGGAACAAATGTTGGAGCGGAAGCATCTGTCCAATATAGAGAGTTTCGTTAAGTGGGTTGGGGGTGGGGGGACAACGGCCTTGCAGTACAGTATAAAGTAATTTTGTAGTATTTGTACTGTTTCCAAGAAATCAAAAAACCGCCGTCGCTCATTGTTTCCAAGAATGTAGGTATATTGCCAAACCTCTTTAAATCCTCGTGTTCTTTCTTGATTGTTTGGTTCTTGATTCTTGCATTTTTGTGCCCTAATTTCTCAATAGTCTATATGATTGTGATCTCTGGTAAGCCGGAGATGGGTGATTTCACAAGGATGCCTCAAGCTCACTAGAGAGAGAGAGAGAGATCGGTCCCAAGGAGAGAGAAAGCTCAAGGAGCCCACTCTCTTTTACCCCTTTTTATACATGAGGGACAATTAATCATAAAATAATTAATTTAGTGTTTCTAGCTTCACCGGTAAGCTTCTTCTGACAATCTTGATGGGAAGGCTTTAATGTAAACAAGATCTAAATCTGTTGCGTAATCTAATGTCAGCGATGTGATGATCGTCCTTTAAGCTTGAGCAATTAGCTTTTTTCGAAAATTAGTCGGCGCATTAAATGCTGAGCAAATAAATATTTCTTTGTAGATTCAAGCGCTCTTTATCCACTTCGGTTGATGGGCCCACCTAAGCTACTTCGGCCAGTAGGCCCGGTTCAGCCACTTCGGCTAATGAATCCAGCTCCATGAATAAATAAATAATGTTATTTGAAAATCAGGTGATTTAGTTTTTTTGCATACAATAAAATTTCGGTGAATTGGGCCTATGTGAGTAAATGTTATATATATATATATATATTTGAAACGTCCGAGAACTAATTTTATTGAAATTAAAAAGGTACATAAAGGTTGCATGAGAGGACATGAGAGGACCCAATAAAGGCATGAGAGGACCCAATAAAGGCTCCCTACCCATATGATGCACAGACACTAACATCCTAAAAAAGATAAGACATTGATAAAACTCTAAAATTTATAACTCGCAGAATACCAGTTGCTAGGGACGAGCCAGCTTGGTCCTGCCTCTGCCTCTGCCTCTGGTTCTAGGAAGTTAAGACATTGATAAAACTCTAAAATTTTATAACTCGCAGAAAATTGTTGAGTGTCGTGCAATTACCCGAAGTTATTAAAGTATCATCTATTAAGTTCCCAAGCCGGGGTGTGCCTCCATTCTTCTTTTTTTGCCTAGATGTGTATACCTTTCATTCCTCATCCGAAGAGTGACACATCTGATCAGTGTGATCAACAGATTGTCGGGCATGTATAAGAGGATGAGCCCTTAGCTCCTGATTAACAATAACAACATTCTCATTCTGAAAAGATGGTAAATCTGTCTCCTCAACACCTGATGCTTCTTGAGGTTGTGGAGCTGCGATACTATCTTGATTATCGGACCGAAGAATATCCTTTGGAGGTAAGGATCTTGCAGTATTGTTTTCAACAGTGCTAGAGACTGTAGGATGCCCAAGTGTCTGCCAATACATCAGTCGGAAGAACATAAACAGTATTGTCTCCGGTAGTGGGAGGGAGAGGTGGCATCGTGTCAACCAATGTTTCAAAAGTCTGTGGAATGCACTCGGGGGCGGAAAAGGGACATGTATGAAGTGGGGCAGATCCAATAGCATTTTTACTCTGAGGTTTTAGATTTGGATGCAAATGATAATTTTGAGAAAGAGACTGTCCAAACATCCGACAGTGGGTGTAATAAAGAGATATATGTTCAAGTTCTGCTTGTTGTCAAAATCCCTAATGCTGTGTGTCAATCCATATCTCTCCCAGAAAAGGTAAAGTAATATCTCGTTCTATCAAAATTCTTGTTTCAGAAGGCCGAGTCAGATTCACTATAGGCATATCAGTTTTAAGAGGTTTACCGTATACCATTCTTAAAGCGAAGAGGAGCTCTTGATCGTAAAGGTGGACCTTCAAACCTGGGAAGTGCAACCAAACAGGAATGGTAGGAGGTTCAGTACGTTGTCAAAATCCATCGTCCATTTTAAAAGCTTCATCACCTGGTTGTCTATTTGAATGAGTCCGCAAACAAATGAACGTAGTCTGCATCATTTGATAATTGAATGAGAATGTGTCGACCAGCCAATTTACCAATCTTCCAACCCCCTTTCATGTTCATTTGCTCAAAATCCTTTCGAATTAGCTCAAGTTTAGGGTTTCCATAAAGAAACTTACCTACTAAGAACGGTCGGCAGGGTGCAGCTAAGGTGGAGATCTCGGCCTCTGTGAGAAAGATTAGAGGTTTGTCATTTTTACGGGATGTTTTTTTGAAAAATCCGGTTTCAACACCAAGAGCAAAAGTATCGTGGTAACTTTACGGAAACATATTCGAAAGAGGGGCGGGAGCGGGGTTATCACCGGCGGGGCTGCGGCGAGGGTGGCGGCGTGGGAAAGAACCCCTGAGGCCATCACCTTGGCAGGTGCTTCACTGCGTGCGCACTGTTGCTGAGCAGCGGGACGCAGTCTGCGACCGAGGACGAAAGCACTCGACGCAGACGACAAGCGGCGTGCGAAGCAACAGTGTCGTGCGGCGAGGGCGAAGAAGGCAGTGATGAAAATAGCGATGTGCGATGTGGAAGCAAAGCAGCGACGACGTGGTGCTGGCGTAGCTATCCAGAGAAGACAACCGAGAACGAAGAAGACTCGGTAAACAGTGAGTGAGATTGTATCCAAAGCTGATGAAACAGTAGCCACGCACGAAAACGATAGAGTGAAGCCGGAGGTTAACAATGGGTTTGGCCATCGGGCGAAACCCCAGAGCTCGCCGCCATTTCTCGGTTTATAAATGTTATTGAGCTTTCTATTGACATAGGATATGATCATGCAATCAAATAATGGAAAATTACCATCGGTCGATTGCATGGTTTTGTTAGTTATTCATCATGAGATGCATAATTATGTTGTTTATAGATAGGAGGGTGAAGAGGCTTTGTCATGTTTTATTTAATAAATTTTTAAGTAGTTGCCGAGTTTAGAAGCAATTCATTATGTATTTTAATGCTCATTTAGTTGCTTGAATTTTGAAAAAAAAATGATTTAAAAAGCCACTAATCTTCTATACTCCTTCATTTAGTTGGATGTAATTAGATATCAATACGACTTTTCAACCCTACTAAGACCTTCAAAATCCTTCAAATTAAGGATTTTATTTTCACACTCAAAATGTTTGAAAGCAAAATCATTTTTTTAATAAAACATATTTTATATCTTCAAGTAACCAATCTAGCCCTCACAAGAGCTGGATACAATATGTTCGGTTATTATATGGTAGCTAGTAAATTATTAAATTGCTACATAAGCTGGATACACTATGTTCGGTTATCATATGGTGGCTAGTAAATTATTAAAATGCTACATAAGCTTCTTGTGATTATCAAAGTTTAAATGTTAAATATGTACATGCATAAGAATTATGTGTTAATCATGTAAATCACACTTTTTTTATGATCCTTATATATTGTCAACAAGTAGCTAACCAATTGCAAATGCTGATTTATTAGGATTTAAGAGCTGATACAAATTTACTTGATTTTTGTTTCGTCTGTGTCAATAAAATTAATTGCAGAGATCGTCGGAGCAGTAGAGCTGTTTTGTTTGATGGCATTGAAGAGGGAGGCGTACGTGCCTCATACAATGCTCATGAGATTGATGAGCATGGCAATGAGAAAGCCATTGATGGGCTACAAGATAGAGTTAATATTCTCAAGAGAGTAAGTGATGTTTCACGTTTATTTGATAGAACGTGTGGTGCTAAATTTATATAGATTGAAAGAAAGATGTGTTTTATGCTCAAGTTATGCGAATGGTTTCTTTCATTTCTTATGGGCATTTACATACATACCACCCAAATCCTATGTATTTGCATATTTAACACGTAAACTTTTCTTTTTACATTTATACTACCCAACTCTTTCATATCACATCACCATTTTAACTTTTATAAAGTGAAATACACCTTTTTCTGCATAGGTAAGGTGGCATGCATGTAAAAATTGAAGTTTAGGCATTAGATATGTAAATACATAGAAATCGAGTGGTGCGCATGTAAATCTCCCTCTAACTTTGTATGCAGTAGGTTAACTGTAATTGGCCCATCTGATCCTTGTTGTCTTTGAGATTTTATCATGTTGAAAGCTTTGTAATTATTAAGTTTTTTTATTATTCTATGATATGTTTTTTCAATTTACTACACGTGTGTGTGTGCTGATATGAAATTAATGTACTTTCTTAATCTCAAGTAATTTATGTGACTTCCTCACTATTCATTTATATGTTACCTATATTATACTGACTTTTCATGCTTTGCTTTGTTCTTTTTGTGTCCTTAATTGAACTTTTTTATATTTATTGTGTATTGCATGGTAATATTATTGCTATTATTTAGAGGAAACTTTATTGTGTACTAAAACTTTGTCAGCGATTTGTAACATAATTCACCATTTTATCACTAATAATTTTATTTCACTTTGAAGTTTTAGGGCCCCTCTTTTTTATTGTGTAACATAATTCACCATTTTATCACTAATAGTTTTATTTCACTTTGAAGTTTTAGGGCCCCTCTTTTTAACATATTGCATATACATATTTCTCTGAAAAGTCCGAAGAATTCTGAAATTTCGTTAACATGGTCTCTTTTTTCATCGAAACCGTTAAGATTTAAAGGTTTCATATGGAGATGATATACACTTTGTTTGGGGCAGCTGTAGTTATTCGAAGAGAAAGTTGTGAAGCTGTTGTAAAAAAAACTGTCGTGCGGCATCACACCACCATCACACTTCCGCCCCAAACACGAAATGCACTTACAATTGATATTGGGAACTATGGGATGAGAAGTTAATTTGTTTATTTTATTATTATTTTTGGATCTATTGCATAAAATAATGGAGATTGATATTAAAATCTTGAGAAAATAGAGCTAATGTTGGAGAAGAAAAGAAAAGAGGTATTCTAAAGTTAACTTCATTAAAGAAAATAAATAAATAAAAAAATTACATGATCCATAAAATGTTCTCTGAATAATATGCTCAATTCCTTTCGACTCCTCCAAAGTTTTAAATGATAAATATTTGAAATGTAACATGCGCTTTACCTAACTACAAACTAAATTGAATTTATTCTGTATATTTTGATTGACAGTCTCTTTCTGTTTTAAATTTTTTATAGCTAACTGGGGACATTCATGGAGAGTTGGAGACTCATAATAGGCTACTGGATAAAATGGTAAGCTATCTTACAAACCACCAAAAAAATAAATAATATATATATTTATTTATTTATTGGTGCCACCTACCCTGGTATGTTGGTTGACATCCATAGTATAAGGCCCTCAGGTCAGGGGTTCGAATCTTCTCTGACACAGTTGGTCTTAAGGAGTTGGTAGTTGAATTGTTAGGCATATTAGGAATGACTGGAGGTTCGTATAATAGTCTCTGGTCATTCTTGTAAAAAAAAAAAAAACTATATATAATTATATATTGTTTTTTTTGTTGTTCTTTATGTAGGGCCACAACATGGATGATTCAAGAGGAACTCTTTATGGAAGCATGGATCGTTTCAAGAAGGTATTTGACAAATATTTTTTACTTATAAAGCCTATAAATCTTTAATATCATATTACTAATAGCAGTAAATATTAATTTTATTTAGCTAAATCCAAAATTTGATTCATATTTTTGTATATTGTTATAAAATAGGGCATGCATGAGAATCATGTGGTGTTTAGGTAAATCCCCACCTAATTAACTAATCACAATTAGTATTTGGTGTCAGGTGTTTCAGACCAAATCAAACCGGCATATGGCTGCACTTGTGGCTTCATTTATCGCATTCTTCTTCCTCATTTATTACCTCATTAGATACTTGTCAGCAATATGATGTAAAACTCAAGAAGATTTGCACACTTACCACTCAATTATTATTTATTTACATATCTGCCATGCCTATGCAAGAAAAGAACCGTTCAATTTTTATGTGAGAGGAAGATTTCCATACTTACCACTCAATTTTTATGTATTTACATATCAAACATCTAAACTTTAATATTTATTTATATGCAATTTTTCAAAATTAAAATAGCAATATGATCTGAATGATTTGGGTGTCATGAATGTAAAAAATAAAGTTTAGGTGTTAGATATGTTAACACGCGCATGCTTTGATTATGTATGTATATAAAGTACCCAATGTAAAATTTAGATGTTAGCTATGTAAATATATAGAAATTATGTGGTATGTATGTAAAAGGCCCCTATTTATTAACAAGGCATTCATATTCATGTCACCATATTCCTATGTATTTACATGCCTAACAAATAAATTTTAATTTTGATATTTATATCATGTAAATCTTTCATTTCATGTCATCATCATTTTAACTTATAAGAAAAAATGTAAAATATAACTTTTCATGCGTGAGCAAGGTGGCACATGGAGGTGTAAACGAGCCGAACACGAACACGAGTGGGCCATCCGCTCGTTTATATTTCGAGCTTAAAATGTGTGTTCGTGTTCGGCTCGTTTGCTTAGCGAGCGCAACAAGCCGAACTCGAGCTGTTCACGAACAAAGAGTTCTTTTAACTATTCTAATCATTTAGCCATAAGACAATAAGAATTTGAGCAAGATTTTAAAATTATTATTTATTTTAAAACATCATTTGAATCTAATTTAATAATTTTTTTTCTATTTTCTTAATCAATATTTTAATTGATTATAAATCTCTATAGTCTTGTAGTCAATTAGATTTTTTTAAAATATTACTTAATATATATATATATACACTTGATGAGTTGTATTTCCAGCCAAAACAAGTCGAACACGAACGAATACATCTTAGTTTGTGTTAACAAAATTAATGAACCAAACACGAGCTTCTTAACGAGCCGAACACGAGCTGTTCGTGAACAACGAGCCGTTTTGGCGGCCCTAATGACACATGACACATACATAAAAATTAAAGTTTAGGTAGATATGTAAATACATAAGAATTGAGTGGTATGTATGTAAATGTTCTACATTAACTTGTCAGGTAGCTATGACGGTAGGATTATTTTTTTTTCGAAGAGAAATATTTGATTCTGATTTTATGTATACCAATGCAAATTAAACGCAGAACTAATGCATTTTCTTGGGCTAATAAATCTATCATTAGGCTCTGTCAATGTGAGATTTCCAAGAAATCCGCACCATATTTTTAGAAATCTCCCATTGGCCCACACATTTCTGAAAATCTGCAATATATATATATATATATATATGATTACTTCTTCAATGAAAAATTAAGCATAATTAATCATGAAGAACGCCCAACCATTTTTCTAAATGCGGGAAAATTAAAGTTGCAAAATGCAAATTAATATTTTCCTAACAGCACTTCTAAACTTAGAATCCTTATTTTTGAGGGAGATTTAAATATTGCACTTTCATAAAATTTTAATTTATTTTAAATTTATTTTATATTAATGTTATGAAATGAAGCCGCTTGTGAATGTGATTGTAATTTGACTTGTTAGCTCATAGTAATGGTGAAAATAAGTCGAGTTGAATCAAGGTCAAATCTTCCTCAACTTAAGTTTGGGCTTGATTAATTAGTTATATTCAAGCTTGAACTTAAACTTACTTCTATCAGTTCAAAATGAAACTGCTTAATATAAATGAAATGAGGAGACCAATGTTTATATGTATGGAGTGAAGACGAGCTTGAATTTGGCTTGTTCGCTCATCAAGTTTAGCTCACTACCCACTTATTGAGCCAAATCTAATGAATAGGCTCACGAGCTGGCTTGACTCAGTCACACCTCTGGCTCATAAAACTTAACCCAAGAGCCATTTATACAAATTGAACTCAATTACAAGATTAATCATAAGACACTATAATAGGTTAAGTTGCCCTAACAAGCTTCCAAATGAAAGATTTAACTCTATGATCAATTTTTAACCTCTTAATCTTCTCTAAAGTACCATAAAGATGTCGATGAAAGATGGCACAAAAATGTTTTGGGGGAATTTACCTAGATACCTCACGATTTTAGTATATTTACACATCTAACACGTAACATTTATATTTATATGCATATCGTTTAAAGTAAAATATTTTAGCATAAATTTATGACACCAAGATATTATTAATATAAACATCAAAATTTATGCATAACATATGTAAATACATAAGAATTGTGTAATATGTTTGTAAATGCCCCAAAATTTTTTACATTTTTTTACAAATGAACAATATGCCACAAATTGATAGCAACTTCTCCATAAAATCTAGCAATGCAATTTTGATTGCCAAAAAAACAAGAAAATAAAATTTGTGTAAATGATAATAATTTTAGGATTTTATTTTTCTTGCAAATAGAAAATACATCTAACAATCATGATTTTCTTTTCACTCCTCTTTTTTTGTGAATAAATCATCATAATTGAAGAAGTTCTATCAAATTTCACTTCTCTAAAACATATCCCAACTTCACCAAATAGAATAAGCCATTATTTCAATTAAAAATCAACATTAAATTGAACTCCATAAAAGCCCTCAACTATAATAGTATTTATAAAACTAAATCATAATTTTATAAACCACACCTTCCCTATCTACAACAAGCCAAATCAACCATATAAGCCCTTACTATAGACCATATAATCAAAACTAATTAACTAAATGGAACAATTATCCCCATTCAATGCTTTCCATTTTTTTCCAAATGTGATCCCCTCAACATAAATGAATCACTAAACCACAATCTGTATACATTTTGCATCAACCAAAATCTGACATGACTTGTATATATCATCCCTGTTCTAAGTATTGTGAAGAACTCTATATAGCTCGTCTCCCATGGCCTGGAGCATGATCGGCTTCCTAATCAGGCCGTTCATGCCGGCTTGCAAGCACCGCTGCCACACGTGCTCTTCTGTGCTCGCTGTCAGAGCGACGATCGCCGGCCACGACCGGCTTCTCAGCTTCCGAATCCTCGTCGCTACTTCGAATCCGTTTATTTGGGGCATGTGAAGATCGAGGAGCACGAGCTGGTAGAGAGTGCCGGAGCTGCTGAGAGAGCTGAGACAATGAGTTCCGGATGAGACGGAAGTGACGGTGCAGCCGAGTTTCTCGAGGAGCTTTCGCGTGACAGCTCTGTTGACGTCATCGTCGTCTGCGAGGAGGACTCGGAGGCCTTTGAAGTTTGGGGTGGAGCCGTGCGGGTGAGCCGCTGATGTGCTGAGCTCGGAGACGGGGGTGAGTGGGTGTTGTTGGAAGTGAAGGACTAGTTTTATGCTTGTTGGAAAACCTTTGGAGTTGGGGATTACCCAGACATCACCATGCATCATCTGCAAGAGGGTGTGTAACCAGAACAGAGATTAATGGTGAGCATTGGAACTGGATAGCATGAAAATTTCCACAAAATATTCTATTCTTCCTTAAATATCCATTACATTCTCTTGTCAAAAAAATTTTCAGAATATTAAAAATGGCAAATCAACTTTGAAACAGCACCAACCCATTGTAAATGAATGGTCCAAAGCTAGACTGAAATGAACAGAAAATCAAATCATGAATTTCCAGAATTAATTACAAAGGGGCATTTACATACATACATTCACACAATTCTTGTGCATTTACATACTAACACCTCAACATTTTTTCTTCCCGCATATGCAAAAAGCCTTAAATCTATGACCTTTTGGTTGAAAGACAAAGCTCTGAGCCACTAGACCAATACGGCTTGCATGTCTAACACCTAAACATTCATATTTATATGAACGTCACTCAAATCTTTAACATCACATCGAAAATTCGACCACACCCGCATCTTTTTAAAAGAAAGATATACCTTTTCATGCATTGGTTTATGACACTAAGATGTATTAAGTATGAATATCAAACTTTGGGAGTTAGATCTGTAAATACAAAAGAATTGACTTGTATGTATGTAAATTTCCAATCCGAATTAAAAAAATTGATTAAAATGACGCTCTTTCGCGACCAGTCCTCCAACCATGGTCTACACATGCTATTGAAATGGACAAAAGCCTGCTTTCATATAGTTGAGAAGGATGGAGACATTACAGCAGGTTTTCATGAACTTTCAATGTGTTGCACGTATAAACAACTCAATTTTGCCAAGATTTCTTTATTTAAAATTCCAAACTGATCCAGTGATATACAGCTTGATGTTTACGACAAAAAAAATGCTTCGGAGTATTATGCCATAAGAGCTCGAGGAATATTACAAAAGAGGAAAAGTATCAGCAATATTACCATCTACTGGTTAATGAATTCACGAAGGTTCATTACAAAAATGCTTCAGAAATATGATGCTTAAAATGTAGGTTTACAAATGAATTTTGAGGAAATGATGAAATTTTAAGGGAATGTTTGAGTTCTTGCAAATAGTTAATGTTTTAGAATTATGATTTTATGTAAATGAAGGTTGATATTTGAAGGAGTTTTGTGAAATGATTTTGACATCAAGTTAATTTCTCTCCAAAACTTCAAACTACACCAAATAAAATGAGCCATTAGTTCCATGAATTGGTCAAGTACAACAAAAAATAAGCAATAATTTGAATTCAATGAGCCACATGAATTGGTCAAGTACAATTAAAAATCAACAATAATTTGAACTCTAAAAAAGCTGAAGCATAATGATTTATAGTAAAAAAAAAATCATCACTTTATATAACATACATGACCCAGTTGCCCGTTATTTGTTTGTATATACAGCAAAAATTGGTGCCTCAATCTTGATTCAAAGGCCAACTTAATTCATGTTTTCTCTAACTATAGTTGGATTACACTTTCCTATTTTTTTGTGAGAACAGCAAAAGCAGTACCTAGTTTTGCCTAGTTGTGTTACAATAACAATAAAATTTACAGCAAACTAGCAAAGGAAAATAATAATAATAATAATAATATTATTATTATTATTATTATTATAATGATAATAATAATAATAAGTAAAGCAACAGAAGTTGACAACAACAATCAGAGCAACGATGGTAGCAACTAGCAAGCAAAGTAGCGGCAGCATTCAAAAACAATATTAGCAACATCCAAAAACAATGATAGCAACGGCTTCAACAAATAGCAGGCGCCAAACAATATCAATAGGGTAGCGAAAAAAACAAATAACAAGGTCTTGAAGACTGCAATTGAAGAAGTAATAGCAGTATGATATAATTATATTACATTTATGCAATAATAATATTTTTATTTCCTTTAAATCATTGTATGAATGTTTGGGCATCCCCTAAAGCGACGAGTTGTATGGCTTAAATACAGTGACAAGTGTTCAAGGGTTGTTGCACTAGCGCATGACATAGTGTTAAATAAGCAAGTCTTCTCACATTGCAGACGGATGCGTGTAAAAAAGTTAGTCTATAAAAATAATATTATCATAAAAACTTGGAATATAAGTACTCTAACAAATAAATTAAAAAAATTAGTAGATATTATGTTTCATTGGAAGATAAATATCTTATGCATTCAAAAAATTAAATGAGTCGGAGAAAAGACTAGAGATTGTTAGTATAAATTTCAAATTTTGATATTCAGGTAGAAGTTGTACTAAAATGGTGTAGCTGAAATTATAGATAAGAGTTTGAGAATAATGTTGTAAAAATTAGTAGAACTAGATATAGAATTCTAGCTCTAAAGATTGTTGTTGATATCAAGATTCTTAATATTATAAGTATTTATGCTCCCCAAATAGATTTGGATATTTAATACAAAGATTTTGAAACTAAAAAATATATATACTGATGAGATTTAATTGAACAAGTTGGTAGAATGGGAGAAAATATTAGAAGTATTCATGGTAGGCATGACTTTGGATAAACTAATGAAGAAGATAGAGTACTATTAAATTTTAGTTCAACATATAATTGTGCTATTGCAAATAGTTTATATGATCATAGTATCACATATAATAATAGATCTAATACAACACAAATTAATTATTTTCTTATGATAAAAATAAATCGTTAAGATTGTAAGAATTGTCAGAATTGCAAGATCATTCCAAGTAAAAATTTAAGTACCTAACATTCATTATAAGCTTTAGATTTTAACATGAACAATTAAAAAATGAAAAATACAACAAAATATTATCATAAAATTGGATGGATGCACTTAAAAAACAAATAAAACTATTTTTATAAGTAAACTTCAAAATCTTAAGATTCAGAATGTTTATGAAAAAACTAATACTATGTAATATAAAAGAAAGACTTATTAAACAAGCGGTAAAAAAATATGCTTGGAGAATCAAAAGAAAAAACTCTTATGAATAAAAAAATTTTGTTGGAATAATAATGTGCAAAGAAAAGATAAAAAATAAGGAACTTTGTTATTAAAATTGGTTTAAATGTAAAAGCTTGGAGAATTGGGAAAAATATAAGGTGACCACTAGGGGGTCTAAGAGAAAATTTACGATGCTAAAAATTTTGTTTTTAATGAACTTTATAATATATTATATACTAAAGAAGGTGAAAATATACGTATAAACAAGTAAAACAAATAAATAATAAAAAGTAAACATTTAGTAAGTGCATTAAAGATGAAAATCAAGTAGTGCTTTTCTCAAACAATGATATTCAAAATAGTTTGTGAGATATTTTGATAAAATTTTTAATAAAGATTATGAAAATAAGATCAATTTTAGTTATCTTAATATCATAAATAAATAAAAAATTATTTCTACCATCGCATTAGTAAAACGAAAGTTTAAGAGACATTGAAGAAAATAAAGTGTGAAAAAACAGTAGGAACCAATGGTATTCCAATAGAAGCGTGAAAATATTTACAAATATAAGAATTTATTGGCTTACTAAATTTTTTTTAATATTTAAAAAAAAAAAAAAAGTTTGATGAGTGGAGAAAGAGTATTCATTCCTATTTTTAAGAATAAAGGGGATGCACAAGGGTGTGCAAATTATTGATGAATTAAGTTAATGTATCATAAATAAATAAAAAATTTTTTCTACCATCGCATTAGTAGAACGAAAGTTTAAGAGACATTGAAGAAAATAAAGTGTGAAAAAACAGTAGGAACCAATGATATTCCAATAGAAGTGTGAAAATATTTACAAATATAAGAATTTATTGGCTTACTAAATTTTTTTTCATATTTTAAAACAAAAAAAAAAGTTTGATGAGTGGAGAAAGAGTATTCATTCCTATTTTTAAGAATAAAGGGGATGCACAAGGGTGTGCAAATTATTGATGAATTAAGTTAATGTGTCATACATTAAATTTATGAGAGAAATAAATTAAATAAGGTTACGAATGAAGAAAAATAGTAATATGATAATTTCTCAAAATTAGTTTGGATTTATGCAGAACGAGGCTACCATGAAAGTTATACATTTATTGAAAAGTTTGATGGAAATATATAAAGAGAGTAAGGGTCTGTTTGGGACAGTTGCAGCTAATTAAAAAATAGTTATGAAGCTGCTGAAAAATAATTTGATATTCAAAAAGTTGTGTCGGCTATTTCATTTTTTTTTTTTTGAAAAAGTGAGATTGTAGCTAGAAAGTTGTCACTACACCTAGCCAAGACTGGTGAAAAAACAAAGATTTCAGTGACAACTTTTTGGAAAAACTGTCAAAACGCAGTTTACCCAAATAGACAAAATTATGGTGTGTTGCCGCACCGCCGACCTAAACAGGCCCTAAGAAGAATCAACATGTGATTTTTGTTGATTTTAAAAAAAAACGCTTATCCAAATTTTCCAGGAGTTCTTTGAAGAATTTTAGAAAAAAAAAGGCATTTATATTGTTAATTCAAGTCATTAAAGGTATGTATATTACAACAATTACTTATGTGCGAACACAATGAGGATTGACAGAATTACATGAAGAATTAGCTTTAAGCCCAAATTTTTTTATTTTAGTTATGGAGAAGAAAGCTTTAAGCCCAAATTTTTTTATTTTAGTTATGGATGATCCAACGATACATTTATAGGAGGATGTCCCATGGTGTATGCTCTTCCCTGATGGATATCCTTCTTGTGAATAAAACGAGTTCAGGAAAAAAAATTAGAATCGCTTCATAATTGAACCAATCTATGCAATATGATTTTAAAAACATGGAACAAAGAGTAACAACGATAGCCTAAAACCTCAATGATTAAATAAAGGCGATAAAGAACATTTGCATCCCTTAGTTCTTACTATAGGAATTGTAGTTGATCCTTATAAGCTTGAGAATAGTAAAATAATTGGAAGAGTTTTGATTGATTTTTTTATTTGAATTACAAACCTTTTAAAGAAACTCCACCAAAAAAAAAAAAACCAAATATATAATAACAACTTAGATAAGTTCAAA